TCTGTGTGGCAGGGGGCCACCAATGCCAGGCATATCCGGAGTGAAAAAGCTGAGCCGGGGGGGGAGGGGGGGGTAGAGGAGAAAGAGGACAAAACTTGACACACACACCCCTCCCCAGCCTGCAGGTGAGACCCGGAAAGAAAGCAGGAGGAGATTTGTCCCCTTGTTGTTTCTTTCTTTCATTTCTGGGCTGCCTTCTGTCCTCTGTACAGGGACCCAAGGCTGCTCACAACTGGCTCAAAACAAGGAGAATTTAAAAAGTTGTAACATTAAAAAGCAAAGACACAGATAGAGCGACAGAGAGATAGATGACATTAGAGATGCATATAACAGCATTTAGGCATCCCAGGTACAGCTTCCTGCAATGGGCTCAGTTGTTAAATGGGGAGGGGGAAGGGAGGGAGGGGTTTTGCCTGCCCCCTGAAGTCCAGCAGGAATGGAGGGGGGAAGGCTGGCCACCCTTGCCTCCTTTGAGAGGGGGTTCCACTGCCTGGGGGGGAACCACTGTAAAGCCCCCCCTCCCAATGCCACCCAATGTGGCTGTGGAGGGAGGGAGGGAGGGAGGGAAGGAAATATTCTGAAACCAAGGGGAAGGGGGAAGGGGTCGTTTCCTCTGCTCCCAGCAGCCTCCCCACCACCACCACCTACCCCCCCCCACACACACACACTCATGGCCTCCTCTGGGGATTGCCTTTCTTAGCAATGGCACTCGGAGGGCCAGCGGGCTCCATCCTGCCCCGGTCCACAGCCAGGGGTTTCTGAGGTCCCTCCTCTTTCTTCCCAGAGCTGGACCTCACCATGCGGATCCTCCTGTACTCCGTGATATTCCTCCTCAGTGTTTTTGGGAACATGCTGGTCCTCGTGGTCCTCGTGATGAACAAGCGGCTGCGCACTGTCACCAACTCGTTCCTGCTCTCCCTGGCGGTCAGCGACCTGATGGTGGCCGTCTTCTGCATGCCCTTCACCTTCATCCCCAACCTGATGCGGACCTTTGTCTTTGGGAAGGTCATCTGCAAGGCCATGGCCTACCTCATGGGTGGGTGCTTTTAGCCCTGGGCAGCTGCAGAGCAGGCGTTTGTTTGCCCCTCTCAGGGGCTGCTTTAGCCCCAAACCACTTCTTACGCCACCCCCTTCTGTGGCTGGGCAGTGATGTTGGGACCCTCCCTAAACTTCACCCCAGTGCACACCATGGAAGAGTGAAGCCCAAGTCCTCTACAGCCCCGTGGGGTTCCAGCTTCTCCCCCTCCCACCCTGAAGGGGCGATTGGGGGGCTGTTTCTAGTGGGTCGATGACACACAGGTTGAGGGGAGCTCAGCTCCAGCCTGACCTTCCTCGGCTCTCTCCCTCAGCGACGTCTGTCAGCGTCTCCATCCCTTCTGCCCTCTGGAGAGCCCCCTTCAGGATCTGCAGCTGGTTATTGGGTTTCCCTTCTTAGCATCGATGCTCTTCCTCCCTTTACACCAGGTTGGGTAACTTGTGGTCACCCCTCTGTAGTGCGAGTGGACTACAAGTCCCATCAGCCTTAGCCAATGGCAGGGAAGGGTGGAAGCTGCACTCCAGCGGCCTCTGGGGGTGATGTTGGGACCCTCCCTAAACTTCACCCCAGTGCACACCATGGAAGAGTGAAGCCCAAGTCCTCTACAGCCCCGTGGGGTTCCAGCTTCTCCCCCTCCCACCCTGAAGGGGCGATTGGGGGGCTGTTTCTAGTGGGTCGATGACACACAGGTTGAGGGGAGCTCAGCTCCAGCCTGACCTTCCTCGGCTCTCTCCCTCAGCGACGTCTGTCAGCGTCTCCACCTTCAGCCTGGTGGCCATCGCGATCGAGCGCTACAACGCCATCTGCAACCCGCTCAAGTCCCGGGTGTGGCAGACCCGCTCCCACGCCTACCGCGTCATCGCGGCCACCTGGCTCCTCTCCGCCCTCCTCATGTTGCCTTACCTGGTCTACAACACCATCACCTCGCCGCCAGCCCACCCAGGCATTTACAGGTGCGGCCCCACCTGGCCTGGGAACCATGTCAAGCAGGCCTGGTGAGTTGGGGATGGGGGGGCAGGGGCAGAGCAGGGAGGAGAAGGGAGCTGTGCCCAGTGGGAAGGGACCCGGGCTGAAAGAATGCTTTGGGGGGCGCATGGAGAGACAGCGGGCCGTGCGGGAGGGGAGCCTCGCCAGCTTGGGCCTGGGCGATTCCTACCGTCCCGCCAGGGCCTTGGAGAGCCCCAGAGGGGAAGCGGGCACGTCTCTGCCCCCCCCACAGGGCTCCAGTCCAAGAAGGGCAGGCTTCCTGCAGCCTTCCTTCTTCCCACCTACCAGGGCTGGCTGCACCTTGGCTACTGCCCACAGGCATAGCACCCTGGAAGCAGGAAACGCTTTCCCCCTGCTTGGCACCGTGCCTGAGCTTGGTTCATGGACCCCTCCAAGCTCAGGGGCTATTGAGAAAGCAGAGTCTCTCTCCATCAGCCGCCCTCGGGAAGTGGCTGGGTGGTCTGCTGTGCCCATCCCAGGCCCTGCCTCTTTTGGCTGGGGTGGCAGAGTCGGGGGGGGAGGGGGCAGAGAGGAGACTGCCCTTCACCAGCAGGAGAGCCCTTCCCTTCTCCCCCCTCCTCTGCTTCTCCTTTGGGGAGGAGTGGGAGGGTCTGTGGCCACCCCTTTGTCCTGTGGTCTGGTGACAGGTGCCCCTCTGCCAAACGCCGGCGTGTGTGGAGGCACAGGGGTTGACCCTGTGCGTGCGCATGCATGTATGTGGGGCTGTGCAGAGCCATGTGGACCAGAGCCCCAGGGGGCTCCTTCCAGCTTTACATCCAGCCTCACTTCCTGCCACCCACGGGGGGGGGGGGAGACAGGGACAGGATCCACCTCTTCCAGCACCAAGGTCTCCTCGCTCTCGGAAAGGGTGATCTTGCTCCCCTTCAGTCAAGCAGCAGCCCTTGCGTTTTCCCCATGATTGAGATGCGGCTGGGTGGAAGCAAAGTGGATGCCAAAGACAATTAATAGAGATGCCAATGTCAATTAAACTTGGCGTGCTGTCTGATTGACTTTCAGTCTCTTCGTGGGCTGACTTGTGATGAGCTTTGCCTGCAGGTGAGGATGTGCCAAGAAAGAGCCCCCTGGGGACAGAGGGGGTGGGGTGGGGGCCCTGCCTTGTGTCCCTTCTGGCCGCAACCGGCTTCCCTGGCTTCCTCCTGGATGGATGCAGAGCTGAGCTGTGTTTAGCATCGGACCCTTTGGTCAGAGGTGCCTTTCGAAAGGATTCAACTCTGCTTGAATCCAAAGCCTGAAACGGATTTGCATTCTGCCCTGGAACCTCCGCCAGCCGCCTGTCACAAAAAGAAACTCCGTGTGGTGGTGAATGAACTCTCCTGCTGCTATTTGTCTACGTTGTGACCCCTTCTGCCTACAACTTAAGGTGGAATTAGATGTGCTTGGGCGCATTGAACTCAATGGGTATCAGCCTGCATGCCTAGTCATCCTTTACACCCAGCTGGGGATTTGGGACCATTTAATGGGCCAGCTAGGATGGAGGTCAGTGGATGGGGGGGGCTTCCTCTTCTCTGTCTCTCCCCAGGGCCTTTGCTTCCTTCTAGGGAGACCCAGAGAAGGCACAGCCTTGCTTGCCTCCTCCCAGGACAGGATGTGGTGCGGGTGGCCATGTGGTGGAGGAGGAGTAAGGCCAGGCCCCTTCAGAGCAGGCGTTTGTTTGCCCCTCTCAGGGGCTGCTTTAGCCCCAAACCACTTCTTACGCCACCCCCTTCTGTGGCTGGGCAGCGATGTTGGGACCCTCCCTAAACCACTGCCCGATCACTGGCACTGCCCGGTCCGTTGAGGACCAACTGGGTCAGGGTGGGTCTGACGGCCCAGCCCCAGCGAGGCGGGTACTGAGAGGAGCCCTTGACCCAGCTGGTGTGGCTCTGGATTAGGCACCCTTTTGAGGGAAGAGGCTGGAATCCGATGTTCTTCTGCTTTGTGGAAAGGGTGCATTCTCTCATTCGGGGCCCCCACCCCCGGCCAGGGAATTACTCAGCCTTTGCAAGGGCTCTGTGACCCCCCCTTTGGAAAGTGAGCTGCATCACTCACTCACTCACACCCACACCCACACACACACCGTTGGAAGGTAAGCCTGCTGTCTCTGGAGCAAGAACTGCCTCCCCTCCCCCCCCCAGAGGGGCTTTAAACCAAGGCCTCTCCTGAGGATCCCCAAATGCATCCTTGACACCAACTGACTCTTCGCACATTTTTAGAGGGACCTCTTTCATGTTCCCACGTTCACACTTTTTGCTGGCCGGGGAGAAAGAACAGAGAGCAGATGAGGACAGTACCCCCAACCAAAGCACTGATAAGGAAAGCAGGGGCTGGCGGGGTGGGGAGGAAATGCTGATGGGGGGCACATCTGAATGGTGTTTCAGCCTTAAAAGCAAGCCTTTTCCTTGCTTTTTCCTTTCCTTTTCCCTTCTTTTCCTTTCCTTTCGCAAAGTGCAGCCAAGGGCTTTGAATGCTATGGACATAAGGCTTTTCATTCTCTCTCTCTCTCTCTCTCTCACACACACACACACACACACACACAGAGAGAGAGAGAGAGAGAGAGAGAGAGAGAGAGAGAGAGAGAAAGCAAAAGCAAAATTTCAGTGTGGGACAAGGAAGATTCTCAACCTATTCTCAAAGGCTTTCACGGCCGGGATCTAATGGTTGTTGTAGGTTTTTCGGGCTCTTTGGCCATGTTCTGAAGGTTGTTCTGCCTAACGTTTCGCCAGTCTCTGTGGCCATGGGCATCTCCAGAGATGCTGGTCCCAGAGCACAGAGTGCTGTCCTCTGAAGATGCCCATGGCCACAGAGACTGGCAAAACATTAGGAAGAACAACCTGCAGAACACGGCCAAAGAGCCCGAAAAACCCACAAACAACCAAGGTTCTCAACCCTTTGGGTGAAGGTCAGAGATCTGAGACCTGGTCCCCTCCTATAAGCTCTGCCCATCATCAATCAGCATCTGCCACAGAGGGGATCCTCTGCCAATCTCAGTGGTGAACCTCTCCCACCCCCCCATCCCGCTTTATCCTGTGATCCCTGGATTGTGCTCTTTAATGTTGTGAGGACATTGTTAGTTAGCATCTCCTGCTTCTTCATACACATATCTCTCCGAAGCATGATCTCCAGCCTCCTCCTGTTCTGGATGCCCCCATTTCATCCTGCCAGGCATGGATTCTGTTCTTAGTCTTAGGCTGATGCCCTGGTGGGTCAGAAACAGAGCGGGGCACAGGTCCCTTCTGGGAGCAAGCTGGTGGGGCAGAAGTGAGGACCTGCACTGTGCCCTTTCTTTTTTAAAATCACTCCAAAAGATGTTTCTTTCAGAGCGTTATTAGCCATTTATAAACTTCCACAAACCCCACCATGGAGTATGGAACAACATACTGTACTAGACATAGGTGAATGAACGAACCACATTCAGCTGCTCCAGGTGCTTCGCCTGGAGCCACAAGAGTGACTTCACAGACCTCAGCCAAGGCAACAAGCTTTTCCCAACATGCACAGGACCGTGCTGAAAACATGGGAGCAACTTTTTTCAGGGCTGGTACCCAGTCGAAGGAGGGAGGGGTCACACTAGCCCTGAGGATCACCCAGGAAGTGGACGGTGGGGGGGGGTTCAGTGCCCAAAGTTCCAGGGGGTCGGCTTCCTGACTTGCTGAAGGCTAATGGCACCTCCTTCTTCTCCCCTACTCCAGGTACGTGCTGCTGATTGTCACCCTCTTCTTCCTCCCCGGGGTAGTGATGATTGTGGCCTATGGACTTATCTCCCGTGAGCTGTACAGGGGCATCCAGTTTGAGATGGACCTCACCCGGGAGGCCAAAGGTGTGTGTAGAGGGAATGAGAGGGGGGGGAGATCTGGGGTAAGCTGGGCCTGCAACTGCCGTGTGCATTTCCTCACGGGGAGCCTCTGAGCAGGAGCCCCGATTCCCCTTGCACCCAGCCCGGAACACCCTTGAGATCAGCACAGGGTGAAGGCCCAGGGTGCTGGGCGGGGGAGTTGGGGGGGGATGAAGGTGTTCATGCCCAGCTTGGCTGGCCTTTTAATGACCCCGGTAAGTCAGGGGAAAGGTCTCCCCTTGGCGGAGACCCAAGGGTGCTTGAGGCCCATAGGCTTTGCAGCGAGGATCGGCTGACCAACTCTCCCTCCTCCTCCTCCTCCTCCTCAGCTCACCCGAATGGGAGCCCTGAGCCCCTGGCCCCTTGTGAGGATGGGGACGGCTGCTACATCCAGGTGCCCCAGCCTGCCACTGGCGGGGTCGAGCTGTCGGTCCTGATGCCGGGAGACAGCACCAAGCAGGAGAGGGCCCGCATCAACAGCTCAGAAGCCAAGCTGCTGGCGAAGAAGCGCGTCATCCGGATGCTGGTGGTGATCGTGGTCCTGTTCTTTGTGTGCTGGCTGCCCGTCTACGTGGCCAACACCTGGCGTGCCTTCGACGGGCCGGCCGCCGAGCGTGCCCTCTCCGGCACCCCCATTTCCTTCATCCACCTCCTCTCTTACTGCTCCACCTGCGTCAACCCCTTCATCTACTGCTTCATGAACAAGCGTTTCCGGAAGGCCTTCGCCGCCACCTTCTCCTGCTGTGGTGCGCCCTGCCGCCGCCCACGTCCCACGGAGGACGAGGTCACAGCCACCGGGGCCTCCCTCTCCAAGTTCAGCTACACCACGGTCAGCACCATCGGCCCCCCATGACCTATGGCTCCCCCCGACCCATGAGTGGTGCCTCGCATGCGCCCACCTTCGTTCTGCCTGGGGAGGCTCAGGGCCTCGCCCCCCCTGCCCACAAACCTTCACCCCAGGATCTCTGCTTGCCCCTTTGGCCTTCCTCCTCCCGCCAGGGTCGGTGGTCCTTATAGGCTGCAAAGGGGCGCGTGGCCGCCAGTGATGACTGGGGAGGGGCTGAGGCACCACGGAGCTCTCACAATGCCCCCACCCCACCCCAAAGAGGAGCAGCCTGGTCCCGCTCCCCAGCCTGCCACTGCAAGGAGCCCAGCCTTGCAGCCAGAGAACCTTTGGATGCCCAAGCAGTTCTCTTCATCCCCCCCCCGCCTGCCTGTTCCCCACCCCAGCATTTCCTCCCCAAACGATGTCCAGTTCCTCCCGCTTTGCCAGGTTAAAAAAACCCTCCCCTCCCCCACTTTTACTTCCTTGGAGGCGCTTGTTCTTAGCCTTCCCCCCCCCCGCCGCCCAAATCACCACTGCTGCCCCACTCCAGTCATTGTCACTGTTCTGGGTGGAGTTTCTTGAAGGGGAGGGAGAGAAGGCATGTGTGTGAGGGGGGTCTCTTTGTGTAACACCACTCAGACAGTGGGGGAGGGGTCTGGATCATGAAGAGAAACCTGGCTGAGAGGTTGGGGGGGCAGAGGGGCCAGGGAGACCTCTTGACCCCTATGATTTGGGGAAGTGGCCAAACCTCCCCCCCCCCGTTCTTGCAGGAGTGTTGCAAATGTCCCTGAGAGAATAAGGGGGGGCGGGCTGCAAGGAGGGAGCCCTTGGTAACTGAGGCAGCCCCGCCCCTCCCTAGTGTGAGCCAGGCCCATCATCTGCCCCATTTCCCAGAAGCCGCCCCCACCCCATCTGTCCATCATTGTGGCCAAGGTCTCCTCGGACGGTGAGACCTGGAATTGTTCAGGGCAATGGCCGGTGGGGCTAGCAGAGTGGGGGGGGCGGATGTTGGGTCCCTCGGACTCATTCCCTCATTGCCAGTGGGAGACCTGCCCCCCCCCTCGCCCAGCACATCTTCTGCTTCTCTATCGATGCCATGCTGGCGATGCAGGGAGCTGTACACGCCACGGGGGGAGCCTGCGGGGGGGGGGAGAATCGTTCCGTTTCTCTTGTCTGTCAAAATAAAGCTCTCAGCATTGAACGGCCTTCTGCTGCTGATGCCGCCCCCTCGTTCCTTCTGCCGGCAAGCGAGCGAGCGAGGGGTGGGTGGGAAGGGTAAACCGAGGCCTGCCTTGGGGGCTGGCAAGGGGAGTCTGAGGAGCCCCCCTGCCGAGCGAGAGAACCCCTTCCCTTCCCTTCCCAAACAGCCCTCACGGCCAGGGCTGGTCCAGAGACAAGGCAGAAATGTGGGGACGGCCCCGAGCAGCAGCGGAGGATTTCAGGGGAGGTGGGGGGGCGTCCTGAAAGGCTGGGGAGTCGCTTGATGCTTGGCTTGGTCTCAGTCCTCCTTTTAGGGCCAGCGGGTGTTGTTTGTTTGTTTTTTGTTTTGCCATGTGTGCCAAACAAAAGACCAAACCAAATCCTGGACCAGCCTTCCACAGGAGGGACCTTGACAAGGTTGCGGGATTCAGCGTTTGCTTTTCTGCCTGAGGCAGCCAAATTCCCTTGTCAGGACCCTGTTCAGGCCCTGCCCTGTGGAGGAGCAGCCTCTGCTTCCAGAGGAGGGCCTTCCCAAGACGTCACGCCCCATGGCCAGTGGAATTCCATGGCATGGCCGGTCTGGGGCCAGCCTTCTTCCCCACCCACCCCTCACCCCATCTGCAAGACCCCCACATGGTGGGTTCTGCAGCCACCAGAAGGCGAGTCAGAGGCAAAGCTGGAAAAAATCCAGGCAGGTTATATCCCCCAGAGACAAGAGTGGGTTTTGGGGGGGGGGATGTCCCTTAACCTCCACTACCCCCCAGTCCGCTCTGATTCTTCATGTAGCTGTTAAGCAGATGTGTTTGTACCTCTTGAGAGAAGGCAGGTGATGGACACCTTGGCCAGCAAATTTATGGTCCCCCCCCCCTTGCCATGCCTCTGCTGCCTGCCCAGGACGGGCCCCTCCAGAGCATCTCCTTGCCCCCTGGTTTATAGCTGCCTGCTTCCCTTCCTGCACTCTGGCTGAAACCTTAGATCAGAGGAGCAGAATTCAAAAAGATCTGGACCGGCTGGAGCCCTGGCCTGAAAGCAACAGAATGAAACGAAACAGGGATAAATGGAAAGTTTCTACCCCTGGGAGGTGGGAGTGGGGGGGGGGCAAACACACAGGATTCTTGGATGATGCAGCACAAGCTTTTAGAGCCATAGGTCAATGGAACCCATGGCCTCGGGGTGGGGGGGGGAGGAGGTGAGTGCTCCAGCCCTTGGAGGCCTTCAAGACAAAGTCAGCCAGTGATCTCTCAGACACTCTTTCCTCTGGATCCCTGGCTTGAGCAGGGGGCTGGACTTCATGGCCTCATGGCCCCCCTCCCGATTCTGTCGTTTTATAGTTCTGTGATTCTACCACTTCCTCTCTTCTCGGCTTTCGACCAACTTTTGAGCTCTTAATCTTTTGCGTAAACTGGGTGGGCGACCCAGTCACCCCCGGACTATGTGTCCTGGCTATGAGGCTGGGTCTTTTCTATCAAATGTGTCTTCTAAATAAATGTAGCAGCCTTTTGTTCTAAGCTTGACCTCTGCCAAATTTATTGCTCCAGAAAAGTTGGTTCCAAACCTGTTTTTGAAACACAACCTTCTTTATTTCAATATCCCGTTCTAAAAGGTCAAGGAAGACATTGTTTAACAAGGGCCGCAACCCATATAAAGAGACCCATCACACACACACACACAACACACACAACACACACACACACACACACACACACACACACACACACACACACACACACAGAGTCTTTTATTCTTCAGCACGGTGGAGGGGGGCCCTCTTTTGGATGTGGGTGTGGTTGTCCGTGATCTTCCTGCTGCCCAACGGCCAGTTGTGGTTCATGGCCTGGGGGGCCTGGCCAGAGGCAGCTGGACTTTGCGGACAGCAGGTGGCAAGGGCACGTGATGGGTAGAAGCTCAAAGCCTGTGAGCGGCTGGTCCGGGAGGCCCATCTCCAGAGCTGGTGGGAAGGGTCCCGCCAGTGAACCTCTTCCACGTGGCTCGGGTGGCGGGTGGGGTGGAGGTTCTGTCCATCCTGGAGGCTGAGGGGTTGATGCTTCCTCCCTGCTGGAGGGGGCACAGCATCCAAGGCCTGCCCTCTGGAACACTGCAGAGGGGGGGCCCTCCGACCCCACCCCACCCGAAGACCTGGGGCAGCCCCTTGAGGGAGGTCTGCTGCTGCTCTGCTCCGCTTGCAGCAAAGGACGTTTCCCTCTTGGCTGCCGGTGCCAAGACCACAGGAGGCCGAATGAGCCGGTGCTGAGCTGGGGCTGCTGCTCACTTGTGGCCATCCGGGCGGCTTCCTAGCAGGAGGCCACCCTGGTGCGGCTGGACAACGGCACAGACCGCCACCGCCACTGACCCGGGGGAGCAAAGGGGCAGCTTCTCTCTTGACCACTGGTGGCTTCAGGGAGGGGGAACCCCGGGAGTTGGCTGCTGTCCCGTTTCCCCCCCCAAAAAAAAATCAGGAGTGATTCTGCAAACAGTGGGATGCCCAGTAGCCTCAGAGGCCAAGAGGGAGAGGGCCCTTACCCCCAGGAAAGCCCAGGGCCACGAGCGAGCAGCAGCACCTGCCCCCCCCGACCTGACCAGCAGCTAATGGCTTTGCAGCTGAGAGAGAAAGAAGCGAGGGCCTGATGGAAGGCAGCCCCCCCCCCGGAGTGGGTCCAGGGCCTGTCTTTACGTCTTCCCACCCCAGGGTCCGTGTCCGTGTATGTGTGTGAGAGAAAGAGCCTGAGTAAACAGGGCCAGCTGTAGGGTTGCGGATCCTCTGCAGAGTCACCCAAATGACACCCCCTCCCTCTCTCCCTCCACAGGAGAGGAGCCTCTGACAGCTGGAGCAGAACAAATTGCTTTGCGTGTAGCCAGTGATCCGAGGGAGGGAGGGGGGCAGGGAAGTCCGCCAGGTCCTCACCCAAATGACCTCCCTCTCTCCCTCCACAGGAGAGGAGCCTCTGACAGCTGGAGCAGAACAAATTGCTTTGCGTGTAGCCAGTGATCCGAGGGAGGGAGGGGGGCAGGGAAGTCCGCCAGGCCAGG